GCCATTTCTCTCGGACCTACAATTCGTCGACCAGCTAAGAGAAAACGAAGAAATTACTCTGTAATAGCTTCCATGCGACGAATGTTTTCGTCACTCCGCGATTGTATTACATCTGGTTCTCTTATTTGTTATTTATTTAAACTCAAATATACAGCGCCTTGCGTCATGTAATACGTTTCGTCTGTGGCTTTGTTCACTAACATTTTTTTGGTTTGTAATTAAAGATCTGAGGAGATCTTGGAACTTTATTTCGAAATTAATTTTACAAACTGCAGTGAAAAATTCGTTAGATTTGGCACTGCATATTGAATAATAATCATAAAGCATTTATGTTTAACGTCTATCAACCCTCCTACACGAGAATCTCTTTGAAATCTCTAACGAAGAGTAACATATCTTGAACTTCAAAGTTCTCCCCTATTCGTAATTATCACCCTTCGCTCTTTTATCCCTGTTCACACCCTCCTCGCACGCACGTACCTAAGTAATTTCATTGCTCTGTCTCTCTCTTTCTCTTTTAAGGTGAACCTGCTTGTAGCGTCGGGTAACGTATCGGCATACATAGCGAACAGGGAGCAGCCGCTGTTCAAGCACCCGCTGCGTAGTGCTCACAAACCCCAAGCGGCACCCCCGGGCTGTCAGGACTCCAGATCCGGTACTTTTCTCTATACCGTCAAGGGTGACGAAGGCATTTACTATTATCATCTGTTCAAGGCTAAGGACGCTGATGCGGTGAGTGTTCTTTTAAAATAAATATTTGAGTGATTACGTAAAACGAAAAAAATCTTTCATCGAGATATGTGCGCCTGCACAGGATAACAATCAATGCCCGTTTAATCTCGCTTCGTTCTATAATAAAAAGTCACATAATTTCAGCCAAAGTCACATCTATTTTTAAGACGTGCATAGTATTTTTATAAGGCTTAATTGTCTACAGAAGATATGCGAAGTCATTTTTGCAGTGCAATACATCGAATGGCAACCTGAGATATTTCTGGGTCGACTTCTGCTAGACACTTTGGCAGCGACGTGTTGACTCAATGTTCGACTTGCATAATCGTTTCTCGCGTTAAACTCCCGAGAAATATCGTTTGATTGAGAACACGTGCAATAAAATCTCGTTTAGATTTTTGTGTACTTTGGAATAACTCAACCGACAAATTCATAAGTAAATTAGGCATTCCTACGAAGTTAAATGAAACACTTCGTTATTTTGAAATTTCATTGAAACTATCACTTCACTCATCAAGATAAATTTAAGCTACAAAAAATTTGCGTAATGAGAAAAATGAAAAAAAAAACGGTATTGAACGTTCCATAACAAAAGCAAAATTATCTAAGCCACTTTACTCTTCAAAAATCATCGTGGTAATTTATAAATAAGTCTCGTGGGCGAGTTGTTAACACTGAGCAACGTCGTGATTTTTACGTCACACAGACCAACACACACGCACACCCACGCACACACGTACGGTAAAGGGTACATTCACGAAGCTTCAGAGTGACTTTACGTTTGGCCCGGCAAGAAGTCGTTTTTATCCTTCTCGCTCGGATTCTCAAAGTAGTGCGCGCGTATACACGTCTCGCTCGCTTCGCGTACGACGATGCAACAAACTGAAAATAGATGCACGTGAAGCGCACACCGAGCCCGCGTGAAACCAATCGACTGCGTCTTCTCTTTCGTAGCTGCAGCTGCTTATTCCCTCTGAGATTGCTAACCGCCACGCACAGTTAGCGATATATCGTTAAACGAAATGTATCATTTCGCGCGGATTTCAAGAGATCAATTGATTATCAATTGCGATCGATTGGCCGCGAGCCGTGTGACGTCAGCCGCGTTTGTGCGTCGAATTCGAAATAGAGACTTGCCGGGTATGCCGCGCGATCCGAATTGCGTTTACGCGACATTCTGTACGTACTTTTGCAACGCTCGCTTTTCCAAAAAAGTTCATGGCGTTACCGTAGAAATACATTTTCTCATTAATTGAACTTCGATTTACTGTTTACCAACCTAATTTTCTTGCTATTAAAGGCCACAATTCGATAATTCTGAAAGTAGACAAGGGTCTAGAATCGTATCCAATTAATTAGGCCATTGAACTACATCCAATGGAAATTATCATCTTCCAAACGATCACCAATTATTATATTATGGCATTGTATATAGAAATTAACTATGTGATCAATGTCGGGAATGTAACGGACATGAGTAGCATGCAAATCTGTAAACATATATATACGGAATTTTCCGATTTTTAACATTACACAATTTAAAACTGCTATCGTCATGTGCCAACAAACGATTCGCAGAATAATTTTCTTCTTCGATTCGATTGCTCGATGAAGCAGCCTTTTCTTTTCGTGCAAACAATAATAGACGAATGCTAAAACTATATTTAAAAGTCGTTTCTCAGCTCTGTTGTGAAAATCTTTGCTGTTTTTGCACAAACGTTACGTCAAAGTAGAACCACAATAAATTCTCGACCTTTCAACGGTCGGCGTTACACCTTGTAAACACACACACACACAACTATTTTAGCGGCCAGTCAGCGTGAAATCATTACTCCGCCAGCGTCAATGCAAATAAAATTTTATCGCTCAGTGGACGGCAAACAAACTCTGTCGCATCTTTTGAAAACGACCTCGGATTAGTTGTAGCTTTTCGTTAAAAGCACACGATCGATATTACATACGTACACGACGAAAGCGACAGAAATGAGTTTGCGAGAGTCTTTTTCGTGGGAGCTACTGCCTGTCAGCTGCAAGCAATCGATTGTGAACAAAGTGACCATTTGCTTTTTCCGTGCCAATTATTATTATTTTTTTCAAGTTAAAACAAATCATCATAGTTTAAAAGAATCATTATCTTGTTTGAAGTTTATGAATGTAAAACAGTCAATGCTTTGGGGATTAAAATTATTGGTTTTATTTTTACGTACATAAACACTTATTATTCGCGTTGAAGAGAATACTGAATTGGTTACAGCAAGCGTCAGTTATCATTGCCAGTTTATTCGGTCGTAAACCAATACTGATTACTGTAGAAATGACGTATCAGATCGTCTTGAAAAATTACTTTACTTACATCTCCGCTCATTTTAACGACAGCAACAAGATAACAAAAGAGTGAAAAATGTTCGATAGATTACCTACATCTGAATAGTCCGTGTAAAAAACTATTAGCAGCAAGCTTTCTAAATGTAACAATTAATTAATCAGAGTAATCCTTCAGAGGGAGTCGATCCAACCTACTAATTAGAAGAATCCCTTGGGCATCGAATTCCCCAAAAGTTTTGCGCGTCACGCATCCGCGAAACTTTACCCGACAAAAACACATTTCAATGCGGCTCTCTTGCACCGGGTACATAGCAAATTTCCGCTCCCTTGGCAAGTTGCCCGACACATGCTTTAAAGCTTCCGACTATTCAATCCAGTTATAAGCAAGGGCGCGGCATTTCGTGCAAAGATTCGCGTACGTATTGTTTGCCGCCCCCTACGCGCGACACCGGAATTCTTCTTCCTTCGTACGTCTTTTTCTTTTATGCGGTTGTCTCGATCCCCCTAGGTACCGTGTACTTTGACGGTGCATAGGTGCTGAACGACTCATTTTGATGAATATCTTTTGTTGGTGAGGTCGTGAAATTCCAGTACTATTTTTCTTGTAAAGCCTACTTCTTTCCATGAGTGATGGATTTCTTTTGGAGGGAAACGGATGGCTGTGAATAGACTGTTCAATTATATTTTTGCAAATTCACAAAGTCCTTTTTTGTGAAATTGTATTTCAAGATCTTGTACGTGGAAAGAATTAAACAGAATCTGAAATTCAAATGTTATGTCGTTATGCACTGCATACTAAATTTCTTTTCCGTTTTCTCAGTATATAAAGTTAATAAACAGCGATAGAAAAATCGCTTAAACACCATCAGTTTATTCTACATCCCGGCAATTGATCGTAAAGTCTGGTTGCGCAAATGCCTACCTTACAATTGCCTTAATAAAGTTGCAACATGTTTGACAGCTTCAACTCCGATTGAAAAATATATTCCGTAGATGATGATTGGAACTAGTCAGTTTCGAAAAATAAAAGGCGTCGATCATTTGCCTTTTCTTCCCTCGATTATTCTCCACTTCAAAGGTAGACGACAATGCGCGCAGAGTGGGCATCATTTAAATTTACTCGTGCAGGAAACACTTCGCGTGTACGCCTTTCAAGATAATTCCCTTGGACACGCATGTGCAGTTGTTGCCACAAAAGTACCTTTGTCCCGTAACGCTTGGAAGTCTTTTGGTATGTAATTTTTTTTATGAGCTTCTATATTTCGATCTGACGATTACTTATTAATATATTATAAAAAATTGCAAAAATATAATAGTCATCTCTCATTTGATTAGCAATTCGAAAATAATAATACAATGTCTTTTATAAACTCTCAGTGATTCATTATTGTACAAATCTTTTTAATACAACGTTGGTAAAAAGCTTACCGCCATATTTATTTTGAAACTTAATACAAGTATCATTAAGTTTACATTTCATTATTTTTTTTTTATATCTCGCGTGTGCAATATCGTAAGATATAATTATATTCATAATTTCGTAATCACGCAACACCTGAAAGCTCACGCGTAAAAATTATTAAACAAATGAAATGAAATAGCAGATCGACTCTAAAAAAACCGCAATCATCCTAAAAATAATAATGATAATAATAATTGCACCACATTCAAAGTAAAAGAAGAAGAAAGAGCCACATCCTTTCATTTCAACCATTTCACAAGTAAAAATATCGCGTGAGCCGCACGCGTAACACCTTTTTGTCGTCGCTCGCGCGATCAGCTGGTTGCGCGTACGTATCGCATGCATTAATTATTATCGGCGGACGCCAGCAGCGGCAAAGAGGTCTTATATATTGTTGTCGCTCAGCCGCTATTATTAAGTGCGCGTCCTTTAAAGCGCTCTGCTCTCCTCGAGCTTCGGTCAGTTACCATTGCGCGACGTTTTCGCATGCGCGCAAATATTGTTGACATAGTTATTATTCTTTTCTCTATTCCGTGCCTGTGACAGTGGATAAGTTCTGTGAATATATATATATATATTTTTTTTTTTATTTGCCCTTTTTATAAAAGGGTGAGGATGTAGTTAAATTGTGACGTTGTAATTTGCAAGAGTGTGCACGTAATGGCTAACTGACGAGAGTTATAAATAATCGTGACTGCTTTGACCTTTAACGAGGGTTGACGATGAAGGTGTTTTTCTGCTCTTTGTGCGAAGAAATTTCGTTGAGATAAGTTTAACGATTGTACGTACCCCACTTGCGCGAAAATTTTCTTGAATTTTTTCACGTACTGCACTTTCTTTCGTGTTGTTTTATCCAAAAGTATTTTTCCGAGCGCGTTTTAATTATTTATCTTCGTTACTTTTCTGGCAGAAATTTTTCCGTTGCCAACGAATGCTGACGTTCGCGTAACTCGTACTTTCAAACGATAGATCTAATCATTTTGAGAGTCTTTCGCTGTTCCTCTGTATGCGTTATCATACTTGACGTTCGCTACAAATGTATTTTCCACTTTAACTTCGAGCATTGAAAATTGCACAAAAAAGTGTCCTCGCATCATCAGCCAAATACGCGCAAACTTTTCCAATAACACAAAAAAATCGGTGCCAGCTCCTTCGAAGAAGGAAAAAAGTACAATAAAAATTCTCGCGAGTGCGTGACGAGCATATAATATCCAATATCGAGAAGTCGCAGGATCAACGAAAAAGAGAAACAAGATTTTTATGTAGCGTGCAATATAGATAGTGATGCATCGTGTCGTGCACCTCTGAAATACAGAGTAGATAAAGATGAGATCGTCCTAGTGTTGGCATTGCGTCCTTGACGTTCTTGTGTACACAACACGTGAGGAGAGCAACGAAAGAAGAAGGAGGAGGAAAAAAATAAAGGAGTTTCTCAAGTTGAAGACGGTAGCGCAGCATACGCAGTCACGGAGCCGCCAGTCGTAAAACTCGTCGTGCCTTGCGAAAATCGCGAGGTGAGCTTTCGTTTGTGTGCGTGTGCGTGTGCGTCTGTCTGTGTGTGCGTGTAACAAAGAATCGTGTGATTGCACTCTCTTGAACAAGTGAATTGAGGATTCATGAGGCATCCGTAGGAAGGAAAATTCCTGCAGGAGAGTAGGAAGGCCAAATAATACGGATGCGCGAGGCAAAAAAACCTCGACGATGAATTATTACACTTGACAGACAAGTGGAGCACATCAGTAGCGACTGTAAACATTCGCGTATTACATTATGACGTTATTTCGAAATACGCGCGAAACAAATGGTTGCATCAGCAAATTTCTTGTTATTTTACCATGTTGCTGAATTGTCACAAAGATTAAATTAATTCTTGTTTTGGTGTTTCGAGTATATTTTGTTGCCAAGGCCAGAAGAGGTTCAACAAACACCTCCGTAAAATCAGGTTTTGCCTCATCCTTAATCGCAAGAAAAACCAAGCTGAGTGCTAATTTCTAAACCTCCCCGTAATTTGTTTTTGTTATCGAACGTTCATTCCGGTTTGGAACGGTAGAAAAAAAAAGAGGTAAAACTAGATAATAAATGTTGCTACGCTACAGCCTCAAGCGTGATTAATGAAAAAATCTTCTATGTTTTATTAATATTTAACGGAAATATATTCATTTTTTACATATTTTTCATAGAATACAAGTATTACACAACTAATCATATAGAAACATCATTATACTACGCGATCCCGTCATTCAATAAAATATAAAATTACATTACAATAATTACAATTCTATTTCGAAATTACTTGAGATTATTAATTACTCATTATTGAATAGTTTGGTATTGATATTTTCGAATGAAGTGTGAGCTGACTGATAAAAGTTTCCAAGAAAAACTTCTAATAACCATTGATGTAATGGCCGTAAAAAAGAAAATTGAAGTATTACCATAAAATTTAAATTTAACGAGCCTTGCGAAAAAGTAACATGGCTACATTTGCGTTTTACCAAAGTGCACTGCTATATAAAGATTACTCGAGACAAACTTTTTATTCTACTTAAAAATCTAACATCGCAACAAAATCATTGACGACAAACATTTATTCCTGACTAAATGTAAAATAGCAAAAAGAAAAATGAACTTTTATGATAAGAAACTTTTTCATGACATCATTGGCAAGGTATAAAAAGATATAAGGCAGATAAAACAGTAAAACCAGAAAATTCATGGAGGCTCTAATGCTCGTGACAAGTTGTTAAGTGGCAGTCGCTACAGTGCTTTCTAATTAGCGAGTCGTATACTTGGGTTCACTTTGACACTCGCGTGTGGTGCATCGATCGTTACATTGACGTTTTTCAATCGTATAACGCCTCTGTTTTACTTGTACGCAAAAAAGAGGATCTCCTTCTCGTTACAGTGATTGTGCTCAAGGCGGTGTGTTTGGATTTTATGGGTGATACAGAGAAACTTATGTTCATCGAGTAATTACTCATACTCTTTCGATTGAAATAAGAGCGAATGACGTTACTCAAGCTACTTTGTACGTACATCTAAAATGAATGTTTTATATCAAGCGGAATCAAGTTTTCGTTTGACGACCCGTTGCTCGCACTTTCATTCCAGACTTTTAAATATCGAGTGGATGTCGATCTATTCACAGCACATGTAACCAAATACTAATTCACTTCAATCACTAATCACCATTTAAATTTGGTTTGAAGATCAAAACAGTCATTGACTATTAAGAGTAAAAATATCAAGTCATCAAAGTTCCTTCATATCATTTACCTAATTATCTCAACCTCGTAAGACCGTAAAGAAAATTAACTCTCTCGTCGACTTTTAAAATTCAACAAAAAGCCTAGAAATAAAGTCTTGAAACATTACATAAACCTCGCTCAACTGCGCTACGAAAGTGCTTTGCAGTTCGCCTCCTCCTCGAACTTATCGAGTCTTCTTCAGGAAAACATTGCACGCTTTTTGTTATTGTCGCATGCTTGTGAACGTGAGAAACTTCGTGCCACGTTATTAAGTATTTTCTGTCCTCCGCAAGAGCTCATGGTATGATAAGAAAAGCAGTTCGACGTTTGAACGTAACCTCGTCCGTACGCTAATGTTTTCATGCCGATGGAATTTTCCGAGCATTTCTTTTTTGCTGTTTGTCTATCCTTTGCGCGCTAATCGATTTGACAGTGTATACATTATCAAATTATTATGTGCCTCGAGTTAACATTTTTGGCGGCTGTCATTTTCATTTTAAATCGTCGAAACTCTTATTGTTTTTCATTAATTATACTTATTTTGGTCAAATGAATTTATTCAATTGACCAAAATATTTATTCACGATGATTGACCATCATGACAAAAGCTGAGAAAAAAATCATTTTGCTCATAAAAAACTTGTGGTGTTGTCTGGCACCATAGTAATAATCATTCCTAACGAGCTAATACCAATTGTCTCTTGTTATTGTTCCTGGTAGAAAAGAATTGCCACAAAGACAATTGTGATCAATGTCATAGCTTAAAGTTAAGCTACAACGAGTATCATTAGTTTCAGTTTTCTGCATCGAATAGATTTCGTATTACAAAATTACACTTTTGATTTTAGCCATAAACAACGTAAAAATTTTCAATTCTATTGCAACAAAAACCACCGATTATAAATTTCACATGCAAATTACAAAAGACACGCCGAACAAATAACCATTTAAAACAATTATAATTAATTGGATATTTTTCTGTTCTCACTTGACCGCTCGGTTGTCAAGCGCAGGACAAAAAAATAGCTTAAGCTTCGTAATTGTAAGCCATCATCGCACTTGACACTTAGTGCCCCTGCGCATTCACTTATTATTATTGCCGTACGGTTAACAATCGCCTGCTGTACACTTCTTTTCACTTGCAGATCGGAGTTACATTAATTTGTTGACCAGTTCGAGTATCAAATTGATACGTTTATCCACTCGTAAAAGTGTTTGCTTCAGATTATAGACTCTATATAAATATTCTTGTAAATTATAATACTCTGAAACCGTTTGAAATTTTAAAAAAGCACAAGAAGAACGGAAAGAAAATAAGTATTTAAACTCACGCTTAATTGCTCTGCCCATCAAAACAAGCTCCAAACACAGTGCACCCGTGCGTGAGGACATCCCTGTCCTTCGATATACGACACGACTTCCACAAAATTGAATTTCTCCACAATGTATTTTGCTGCTGGGACCTTGAATCCCTGATTGAATTTCGATACACAAACAGTTGCCATTTAATCGAGTACGATTTTGAAAGAGCGCGCACGTGTGTCCAATTTGCGTTTGACATTTTGCAGAGCGTGACCCAATAAATTGACATATGGCACACGCTTTATTTCGTGTCGCGTGCTGTATCTTCACAGCGAAAACATAGTTGTGAAAATATCAAAGTTAGACAATATTGTATGAAATCTTTGCAGTGGTGTGTAATACGGCTTATGTAAACCTCGACTGCATAAGTAGCTTAGACTGATAAACAGGTGGCAGTACTTAGGATTAAATAATAGAACTGTTAAGAGGCACGACTGTACGACTTTGTTTGAACTCGTTTCGTCAAAAAAGAAATTTTATCACAGCTGATTAAATACCAAGATACTTTGTTGATTGTACAGTGTACCGCGATTGAAAGGCTAATATTACACAAGCGTCATGAATTTTACTTTTCTAAAGCCAATAATTTTTTATCTCAAAAAAGTAAAAGTATACAATAGCAGAACGTTAGGTAGTAGAGCTCTTAAGTATTTAAATACTTGAATTATCACACCAAAAGCATTCTTACGATCCATTAAAATAAAAAATCTCTCTTGCGATCTCTCTAACCCTAAAAGTACTTTGAATAACCATATCTCATCACAGTCACATACCTCCGGCTCTTTATAGCCGTCGCATAAACAGTATAACAACAAGCAGTTACATATAAATCTCAAAGAAAAAAAAAAGAGAGAAGAGAAAAGAAAAGACCAACGAATCATATTCCGGCAGCCCATTGCCGTCGCGTCGTCTGCTACATAGCAAAGAATCGGTGTGCTCGGCAGACACAGCGACTACACTGCTAAAATAAAAAAAAACAACAAATAACGACGACAACGTCAGAAGCGCTTACAAACAGGCCGCGCGCGCGCGTGTGTGTGTGTGTGTGTGCGTGTGTGCGCGTGTGTGTGCGTGAGAGAGAAATAGATCCGGCAACGAGCCAACCCTCCGCGATGCGTGTGCCAGTCGAAGTTCTACCGTCGACGACGACGATGCGTCCGTTTGTGATTACTTGCTGTTGCTGTGTGTGATATATCCCTGCTGTACGCTCATTTTTTTAATGTAATTGTTTTGTGAAACAGTTGAAGTTTTTTCCGTAATTTTGGAAAGAATAGTACATTATAGTAATCATGATTACTATGCCGCTGTCAGCTTCTAGTCCATACGTGACTATTCACTCGTTTAGTGATGCCAGCGTACTCAACAGGAGGCCAACGGTGAGCTCTTTTGTTTCCTCTGTCTCTCGCGTTTCGATTTTATTTTAGAGATCAAGACTATTTGTTGCAAGTGCTTCTTTGTTTTGATTTGCAGTTTCAAATTTTTTAAATTATTCTTCATTTACTTTTTTTGTTGATAATTACGTACAATGTCATACAAAAGTAATGAAATTATAATGAATAGATAGAGTCACGATTTTTTTACAATCGAACAAACAAAAATAATCAGAACAAACATTAGACGAGAATAACAATGAATTATAGAACTTTGATATACATACATTTGCAATTCAACTTGCAAATTATTTATAGAAAGCTTCAGCTTTCTATGCAGTACTGACAAATTCTCATCTGTGTTCCTTACCCCTTCATTTATATGAAATAATTACACTAAATTAGTCCCGAAAGAAACGCAATAAGCAAAACGGCATTGTTATTTACGAAGACGCGCGTTCTCATTAAAGTGAAACTGTCGACGCAAAAATGAATGTACGAAAGAAAAAAAATCTACATAACTGTTTTATGCAT